AAACACAAATATTTCTATACAAATAGAAAAAATATTGTGAATGTTGTAGAAAGACATTTTCTCAATGTTTTTTAACCTTAACAATCATACACTGTTGTAAGAGCATTAAGAATATAGACTCCMTGATTGCTGTTAATTTTCCTTCCTTCTCTTTATTGCCCCAAGTGGATTTGGAAGTAACATTTGGCAACACTTGATTTTCAAACATTCCTTTCAGACATCTGTAGGGTTTTCTTATATTTAAAGATTAATTTCAATGTATTTTGGCTTAGATTTCTGTCTCAGCAACATGTAGGCTATCAAGGCATTTTGATTGTCTCACTGGAGAGGATTTGAAATMTGTAAATAAAAATCTGTAATTTCTAAAACATTAGAAGTTTGGTGTCTGTTAAACTAACAAGAAAACAGAATAACCTGTACTTYGCCATTAATACTTCAAGAATATAAGATGTTGAATTACAATCAATTGTAAAATCTATTGGTCCTTAATTAATATAATACAATATATTGGTCCTTAATTCTCCAGGTCCCATGAGGGTATATGGCAAGTGTAKGTAGATTGCCTCTTGTTGTGATCARAGTACAAATTACCYATATTAARTGGGAATCATATAGTTTAATACTCAATTCTCTTTGTTTATCAACATTTTCTATTAAATATTTTCATTTAAATATACAGTCCCCTTGTGCAGAATTTTTTATTTGCTTGTACAGCTTAGGACTATGAGGAATTGAATTGTGAGGTTTGATGGGTAAACTCAAAAACACTTATCAAGGATTGTATGTATAACAATATACTCCAGTTCTCAGGGAAGCAAAATATCCTGGTTGTAAACTGTCTTCTTTCCTTCCCATTAGAGCATTTCCACCTCAAGCAGCRCATTCAACTGTTCACCAATGACTTCAGGGAAACTTTGAGATCCAAGCTCCTGACCACACTCTGAATGCTGACACACGTCCACACCACAGTATGTGTCAGCAGCAAAGACAAAGGATATCTCATGCCCACAATACCTTATGGCTTGATAGGTAAGGTACTGGTCTGGAAACTGTGAGAGGTTTCCCTGAAAAAGGTAACGGAATGTGGTCCCCAACTTCCCTGAACTCTYTAAGTCAGAGGCATTAGCTGGCAGGACGTCCCACAGCTGAGCTGACTTGTGGGATTTATTCCCAACTTCACCTCATTTTGAAGCACTGCCATTTCCTCTTTTTCACAGCTCATTGTATGCTGTGGTGCTCTGTTCCAGGGAGCTGTGAAAAAAACAGAAGGCAGGCAAAACTAAAGCAGGGAGGCAAGAACACGGAGTGCTCTGAGGAACTGGGGAAAGGGGAGAGGGTGAGGGAGGCACAAAACCTCTGAGTAGGCAAATTTGTACCACTGCACTGGTTTATCCAAGCTATAAATTTGAGCCAGCCTGGATCCAGCTAGATTTCCTTGTCCAAGCCTGGCGCCAGTTGTGCTGGAATTGGCTGTGCTGTGTCCAGCCCAGGCTGTGAGCACAAAATCCCACATTATACCTCTGTGCCACATCCCTCAGCACTCCAAGATTTAAATGCCTTTGAGCTTGAATGTAGGACTAAACGCAATCAAGGGYTTGGGCTGTGCTGTATCAGCACCAGATGTTTTGTGCAGACTTACCCCACAATTATCTCAATTAAAATTGGCTTCTGGTCTTACAGGCCCTGATGAATGTCAGCTGACTCACTTCCCAAACTGCCCCAATGAAGAAACGCTGGCTCTTCCATGTGTGCCGGTACTGGGACATCACCACACTGCATCAGACCTGCTTCCCAACCCAACAGGGAGGAAGGCACCTCCTTCCCCTGGTACATTTGACTCCTGTTCTCACCCACCCCATGAACAGTCCCAGGGTGACCAACTCTTTTTTTGGTTTTTTTTGTTTTTTTTTTTTTTTTATTCCCAATCTCCCTTTCAAAATGTGACATTGTTCTAGTTGTGCTGAGTTTGGGCGAAGATTATCTTTTTCCACTGTCACCTACAGACCCCACAACAGGCAGCTGCATTCTATAAGTTTGATTTTTAAAGTAATTCTTAGACATTTCCAGCAATTTTCAAAAAGTAGAGCGAAGTATTACTGATGCTTTTTCACATTTCTGAATGCATAGTAATTTATCGAGTCTGCACAGGCAGAATTACTGAGTTACAGTCCTGACTCCTGCATTTTACTCTGTTTGCATCCCCACTTCTCAAGCCCTCATGAAAAATGCACTTCAGTCTGGGAGGCAGCTCCATCTTYTAACTATAACATTTTAATTCTGGCTGCTGAAGCAGAAACAACCTTCAAAGTTTTACCAAATTCAGGCCTCTTAAAATTCAGCAATAAGATCACACTGGCATCTCACTTTAAATTAAAACTTCCTGCCCAATGCTGCTTTAAATATAAATAATTTCAGGAAATGGATTATCCCATTAAGATAATAGAAAACAAATACATGATTTATTAGCAATCTCTCCCAAAATGCACTATTTAATAAGCTTTCCAAAGCTGTTCACTAGAAGGATATATGCCATGCCTTCCTCAATCACTGTCTCAGCATCCAACTTTGAAAAGTGGCTGCTAACAACTATTTGAGGGGAAAAAATTACACAAGCCTGTAGAGGGCAAAGGTATGATCAGCTGCTCACTGGAATCATTTTATCATGAACTGCATCAAGCAATATTAGCCATGGTCAGAGAAACCTAAAGTGGCTTTTCTCCCACCTTTAGACACAACTGAGACTCTCACAATGTTGCCCCATCTCTCCCTGCATGGAGGTTCTTCCTTGGTCTCTTGCACACAATGGAAATTAATTCCATGGACCCACTGGCCATTATGGAAATGTAGTTTTTCACTGCTAGGTCCATGTTTTTCACCTTTCAGTAAAGTTCTTCAGCTATTAAAAAAAAACTATAAAAATGCTGGGTCAGCCTTTCAATATTTCTAACACTTYCCTTCTTAATTGTTTGCTTTCCAAAATTTCTTTCACAAAAAAATGGTCTACAAAAAATTTTATTGTTTGTTTCAGAATCATGCAATCATAGARCATTYTGGGTTGGAAGAGACCTTAAAGACCAYCCRGTTCCAACCCCYTGCCATTGGCAGGGACCCTTCCACTGTCCCAGGTTGTTCAGAGCCCCACCCAACCTGACCTTAAACACTTCCAGGGATGGGRCAGCCACAGCTTCTCTGGRCAATCTGTGCCAGGGTCTCACCACCCTTTGTCTTTTTCTGAACCTCCTCAGCCTGGATTAGTTTTTGTCAGAGAGAACAGTAATTCTGAAGCCATTCCAGAGACTTTACTCCCAGAAACCCAATATTCCTGTTACACTCCATTCTGTTCCCAACATCCATTTTTTTACTGTACCTTTACAGAGAGTTCATTCACATAATGGTAGGCGAGACTCTGATCTAGACTGACACAAAACATCTCAGGTATTTGCAAGAAAATCTGCACTTCTTTGTCTTGGTCTTTTACCAAAGCTGCCACTCCATCACCTCCTCACCCTGCCAGTTGTAGCTGGAACTGCTGGCAGTGTCCCTTCTGCCTCACCAGCCCAAGGAACTGCAAGTACTGCTGTGCCAGCAGCCATTCTCCTTTTCCAGTCCCAAGTCCAGGACTTGAAGCCAATCCCAACACAAACTGCCAATGTTCACCTTTTCAATAACACCATTTCTCCTTGCCTTTGGTCCCTCACAGTTTTGCATGTACACAATGTCCCTTATTCCAAAGGCTTAAAAAAATCACCAAATAAATCTGATGAAAAAAATAAAACTACAGAACCCTCAAATGTATTTCAGTCCATTTTTGATTCATTGCCTGAAAGTCTCAAGATGATGGCAACAGAACAGCAGAACAACTTTCCTCTGCAGAAATCAGTCTAGAATACTACTATATACTGTTGTTAATTCTAATAATGAAGTATGTTCCTTGGTCACATGAGCAGCCTTTTTAGCAAGCTCGCTAAAAGATGGACCTTTGAAACCCTTTCACAAACTAGACAAAAAAATGCACATTTACAGGCTCATGGTACTGAGGTGGTCACTTCATCCCCAAAGCCCTTCAGGACACCCAAATGTGTCCTTCAGGACACCCAAATGTGTTCCTTCCAGTCAGGGTGGGTGATTCATGTCAGTTGGCTTCAGTATTCTTTGGACATGCCAAAAATCCATGAGCTTCATCAGCAGAAAAGAGCTGATTGGTTGGTTACCTTCCCATTATTCTCCGGGCTGGACATTATGGCAAAGGCTTTCACATTTTAATATTTTCATCTTTCTTTGTTTTTCTCTTTGTTTTCTCTAAATCCCAGATAATCCAGCAGGCACATTCCTCCACGGGGTTCCCATTTCCAATAAACTGCARCTGTGCTTATATAACTTCAGATATTCATGGCTATTCATGTGCCTTGGGCTTGGGGGTGTGGTTTGTGGGGCGTGTGTGTGTTAAGATTTATTTCCCAAAGTCTTCACACAGCCTAATGAACCCCTTAAAGCTCAGAGGCATGCAGGACATGCTTYRTATCTTACTCACCTTGGCCACAAGYGCACCATAACACGAGGTCAACATGTAATGCAAACCTCTGGAGCCCAGGCACACACAAATCTAAATATTTAATAGGTTAATATGTCCAACATCCCAAGCCCTGTGCATTCCAAGCCTACACCCACCCATCCATCCGATGCTAATGAATTACTATTGCTGTTCAGACAACCCAACAGAACTCCAGTGGGAGAGATTCCAGTTCACATTCATCTGCTGCTGCAGTAAAAACCAGAGAAATTCGGGAAAACTCCTCCTTGGTAGAAATTTCTGAGTTTCACAAGTTTGAAATGCAGAAAAACGCATTAAATGTTTGTTTAGATTCTCAACTACTTTAGAAAAACCTAGTAAAAATCACTAAAAGTACCTTAAAAACCTGTTTCTGCAAACACTGGCACCACATCCCAGCAGGCTGTTAACTGAGATGCTTTCTTATTTTCTATGTACACAAGGGCCAGAGTCAAAGTTAATTTTCACCTTTAATAAGCTCATGATTCTTCRTTATTTAATACTCTGTAAAAAGGTATTACAGATTGGTAATTATTGCAGTGACCTCTAAAGAAGATGGACAGCCATGAGGCTGAAACTACAATATCATATACAGTATGTAGTCATTGATACTACCTACTACAGCATGAAGAAAAATACCTTTTAAATAAACAATATTTAACTAAAAACATAGAAATGGAGCTTTCATTCTTAGAGTACGGTTACACAGCTAAATTCCAAGAATAACATTTAAAAAAATGCTAAATCTTGAAAGGCCATAGATAAAAAGAGTCATGATGAGGATGAACCAGTTTTGCCCAGAAATGCTATAATGAGCACACTGCACAGTTTTTCAGCAAATCCTAGTTTTGCCAAGCTTCAAGAGGCAAAAGCCTGAAATGTAAAAGCTCCCAAGTTGTCTAGCTAGTCCACTTGTCTTGCTCTGGCAGGCCCAGTGACCCACACTGCTTGCAGACAGTGTGTCACCACAACTGTTCTTTGCCGACAYGGATCCCATCAGGAAGAGATGTTCAGCTCCTTACGATGCCAGGCCCAACAAAAAGCCTCCAACAAATCCACTGGACACCACGATGTTCTGTTTGATAAATTCTGTTGACTGAGAAGAAAAATGATACTCATAAAGTTAACTGTGTCTGACCTTACTATTTAATACTTATCACAACTTCCTGGAAACAAAACCACTAAAATTATGGAGAGGGTGCAGGGGGAGCAATGTGTCTAAAACCTATAAAAATCAGTGACACCAACTGACTGCTAACTGACTCTCAGCTGTCTCTGACAAGACATTTAAAGTACATTGAGCCTCTAAAAAGGTAAAATACAGAGGAATTGTTACATCAATTTCATGCCAATACCACTCTTGTTTTGATTAAAAGAAGACAAATGTTTTACAAACTCCCTTGACAAAAAAAGCATGAGCACCACGATGATTTCAATTGCAATCACATGATAAAAGTTTTTTAAAAATACTGCTTTGTGGAAGACTAGGCCATTGGAAAAGATATACACTTCACTCCGTTAGGAACCAGTTTCCTACCTACTTACTCCTAGGAAAAAAACACTTACATATGACAACATGGGTGTATATTATTTCATGAAGTAGCAGCACAGAGTATAACACCTTTTATCAAATGTGCCATTTCATAAATCCTCTGCTTCAAACATTTCAGATTGACAACAAACACACAGTTAGAAGAAAGTCGTAATCTGAGAGAAAAAAGACAAGGAAAACAAAAACCCCAACCTGTCCCACCCATTTCTACAGGGCAATGGAGAAGGAGARGTTATGCTATTTGAGGTACAGAAGAAGCAAGAAAACCCTCACTCTTGAACTTTCAGTTCATATTCACATTAAAATTTGAGGTAATTTTTATCAACCTGTGCAACTCCATACAGGTTAGACCTGAGATGTCAAAACTCATTAATTACAGAGCACTAGTGTGGCTGCTGTTTCAACATCTGCAGCACATTCCCAGTCAGGATTCTCAGTTATTCAGAATGAAACTTAGATTGCATGTACGGAATGTGAAAATATGTAAAAACAGGCTTTAAAAAAMCYCAAACAATCACAAAATTTATTAAATGGAAGKCTTCAAATTACAGGGTGAAACAGCCCCAGTGACACTGATCAGTATCACAGCTACCTCTTCTCAACATAGTAGGCAACTGAYRGATKCTGCAGACAAATATTCTCCAAAATGTATAAAAATGAGATAAAATCACAACTCCAGTTACGTAGTAGCTACAGCTTTTCTGCAAAAAARTCATTCTTGTCTAGACAAGTAATTTTATTATCAGCAGTCCAAGAAGTTTTGGGTTTTATCTTTGTAGTTATCATGTTTTACCCACACCATCCTGAACTTTTTACCATGTCATGACCCTGGCTTTGTCACTTGACAAGAACAAGTTTGTGTGTCATCAAGAGTGACCAAATTAGAAAGCTGAATGAATAGAAGCACAACCTGATAACTTTTAATAAATTATAAAGCCCGACTGTTTTTGATGCCTTCCAGTTTMGCACATGTATTTTCAACTTATATTCACCTGCAGTGGAAGGTAAGTAAACCTGGCTGATAGGAAAGTTTATCACCTTTGACTCACCTCTTCAATTAGAGTGTTGATTTCAGGAGCTGCCTTATTTGCACGCTTTTTTAACTGTTTTTTTGCTTTGTTTACATCTTTTTCAACTCTCTTCCAGTCAACTTGTACATATCCACTATGACTAGCAATCTAGGAAAATAAAGGCAGTTAGTACAGATGCAGTTCMCATTTCATGCATCAAAATACATTGTCTTGGTGCCTACAAAATCGTTTTTTGCATTTTTTCTTATTACAGATACAGGAAAAGACAGTTTCTCAATTTCAGCAGGTTTTCTGCTTCAAACACTGRTACTTTCCTCAGTGACAGAAGCTCAAATTAGAACAAGCAAGGGCAAAGTTCAGCAGACTCTTGTTAATTTTACCAGTTCCCTGTTTTTTAGTTATAAAAGCTTTGCTATGTTTTTCCTTTAACACCTACTGTAACTTTACCTGTAAGAAAAACATGTTCATAGGACAACAATGAAAAAGCTGTTTCACTTCAGTTTTTTTCAGAATTATGGAATTCTGATTTGAGACAGAGTATCTGGGACTAATCAAAATCATCACTGAAACACTGAAAACTCTTTATTTTATCCTACACAATTTAAACCGTCCAACAAAAAAAAACCACTCATCACAAGAGACTTCTCACTCTTTTTATAAAATAAAACCAGTAAGTGGAAAAATAACATGGTCTGGACAAGTTCTGTAAAATCAGAAAAATTGAGATGTTTGGGGAGGCCGGTTCACACCAATCTACACAAAACTACTAAATTTTTAGCATGTCTAATCATCATCCCAAACCTTTGCCTTATTTCTAAGACTTGAGGGCTGCATGTTCTAAAGAAGAGTTAAACAACTCATTATTTAGGGAGAAAAAAAAAAGAAAAATTGATCAAAACTAAGGATTACTGCTTATTTTAACTTTTAAGACAAATAGATATAAACCACTAAAGGTACAAATAAGTAAGTGTTATAAAAAACTCTTTGTAAAGAGTGAGATTTCTCAGGTCCTTYTTAAGGTCACATGTGGGTGGGAAATTCACCCAATTTACCTAACAGCCTTCTATGCAAACTGTTCCATTGGTAAACATAAGTCACAGATAATGAACTTCTGTGGAATAGCTATTTAAATATACAATTTAAGTTTAGCCTGAAAAGAAATGTTTCACTTTATTTTATGACTTACAGGCTCTGAAATTTGACTTTGACATGGTTCTTTATATCAAATAACTGAAATTAGACCATCTAGCTTGTATTTCAACTGTCACAGTAACTAAGCAACACATTTCACCAGAAACTGAGGATTTCATGATCCAGGAAAATAAAAAAATGAAGCAAGTGTCAGACAGATTTTGTTTGAATTCAAAACAAAGCTTCTAAAAGACCACCTATGCAAGAAAACAAACTTCAGTTTCCATCTTTGCATAAGTCAAAAAAACAGTTCACTGGACAAATGCAAAGTGAACCTATACTTTAAATTCTCTTTTACTTCATACCTCAGAATGTAACAAATTAACTGACTTTGCCTGTCTATTGTAAAACCATTTATTSACATGGGCACCAGTGCCAGGCAGGGACAGCTCATTAAGGGCTGTCTGTACACTATGAAAGCAGGAAACCAGTTTGAAAGCTGTACTGGTTGCACATCCAGTCACTGGATGACATACAAGGAAAAGAAAAAATAGCTGCATTTTGGGGCAATTGTTATTTTATGAATTTAACGTAAMCAATTTCAAGAAGGCCCAAGCATTGAATTGGTGCCTTCTCACTCATACAACTGAAAATTAAACGTGACTGATCTACCCAGTCCAACACAATGTAAGAAATGCTAATGCATTTGCTTTCTCGTAAAATGCAAATGGATCTTAGGAGAAACATTTCATTAAGACAACTTTAATTAGCTCAGTTATCCAGACAGCACAAAGATGAGGCAGAAGTTTTTAATTAAGTTCCGTTTGTAACTACTGCAGAGCTAACTTAGATTTGTATCAAGACTAGACATCTTTCCTCCCTCAACTTAGCAGCCCTGAACTTAAGAGATACCAAATTCTACTTCTGAGTGTTGATATGCATCTATAAAATAAGCAACAGAAGACAATGTTTTCAATATAAAACTTTCAACTGAGAAGAAAAAAACCCAGTACTCTGGCAGGGATAGTCAGAGCCTGTGACATATCTACTTTGGCTGCAATCCCAATTAATTCCATCATTTAATATATAAGAGCAGAAATAACACTACTGAAATCAAATGCTGGAGAAACAGACTTCAATTTTTAGGCTCTAATACATCATTTAAAAACTATTTGCCTTATAACAGTAAACTTACATAAATGCAAATTCTTAAAGTTTACTAGTATTTTTAAACCCATGTCCTACAATAGTGAAATAAAATAACAGTGTTCCATTATCATATCCATACTTGGATATGTTAAGGAATCAATATTAATTGCATCTATCACTGAAGAGACCAAGGAGGGGGTGGATTTCCGGTTGCACAGGAATCTCTATATAAGTGATGATGGACTAATAATTATATTATATACTTATCCATGTACCTCATAGCTCATTATTTGTTCAAGACCTTCCAAACTGTTGAAAAAATAACAATTTTTTGAAAAAGGCAACTGAAGAAATACATCAGTGCAGGAATACTAAAAAGATGGGTATCTTTCCCTACACTAATCAAGGAAAACTCAGAATCAAAGGCAGGCCTCATTCTGGGGGGTGACACTGGAGAGGCACACAGGCCCTTTGTTAATGTGAAACATTAATAAGAGTAATGAGCAAAAAAGACATATGGTAAGATGGGACAAAAGAGTTTTCATTTCCTTGCGGAAAAACCTGTCAAACTAAAAGAGCCCAAGCAAGGCCAGAAGGCACAAGTGAGCACCCTGTGCCCAGCTGCCTGTGCAGTGCAAAGAAGCCATGGGCACTTTGAGGTATTTTCTGCTATGCACAAAGGTAACAATCCCCCTGTTTCCAGAACAGATATGACAAATCTCTAAACACACAAAGACAGGGAGGGACTAAGAAGTGACACAACACTTTCTGTAAGAGTTGAACTGCAGAGGCTGTACCTTCAGCCACCATCTGCAGGCACAGCTCTGCTGTCCCCAGTGCCAACACTGCAGGTTACAGCGGCACAGACCCTGTCCCTCCACTTCATGCCAGAACCTGCCAGAAACTTGGCTCTTCTTTATCAAGCCAACTTCCAACTCCCATTTGCTTTGGCTACTCCAATATTCCCTCCATGTCTGCACATATCAATTGTCAAGTGGGATATTCAATATAAAACTGAGTCCAAGTCTTCCTCACTAAGTCTACTTCCCCAGAAGAACCTCACTGAGATGCCACACTGGGCTGGAACTACAYGATCTTTAAGGTCCCTTCCAAGCCAAACTATGCTATGATTCCATGATCATCACCATACACTATCAACAAACCCCTGCACAAGATAAAGCCAAGGATATCTTAGAGTTGTTTCTTGTGTTGTTTTCACATATTTACATTTCMTAGATTAGAACAACATTTAATGAAGAATTGAATTTAAGTCATCAATGGTGYATTAATGGGCTGAGAAAAAATATATTAGTGAAAGCACAAGTAACTGAATAAAAACGGAATTTCATAATAATACACAATACAGAACAGAAAAAACGGTAATTTGTATTCTTACTGCAGARCAAAACACAATGAAACTGCTATTGAGGATACAGCATTTTAAAAATAGATACTAGGGGCTTATTAAGAATAGTTGTTTTTAACTGATCTGTTATAGCAGAACCAAGGGTACACAAGTTCATATTTCCCCACTCTTAAGGATCTCATTGATTCGTGCTGTAGAAACAAGCAGTCACACAAGCACAATCCTTATTTGTTATGAGAAATGCATTATATTTGCCTTAATACAGTGCATGGATACTGCTCTTACACCAACATATTTGAAGAACCACATCTATTTMATTTAATAAAAAAATGGACAGTTACTTGATCAAATTAAGATGTGGAAATATTCACCACGAAGTCATGATAACMGATTTTAATATTGAAAAGCTGTGCAAATTTCATGTAATTTTTATTGTTTTCCTCCAACTACTTCTCATATAATCTGTGTGAAGACTGAAGTTCTAGATCACTTACAAAAATCTGAAAATTGCTTTTTGCTTCTTTTGCAAACTGACGCTCAAAAAATGTATTGCTTTCAGTTTCCTACTACAGTTCTTAAGATGAAGTCATCACCCACTACAGAAAAAAAAGTATTTTTTTCATTTTAAGACTAAAATGTTTCACTGAATGGGCTTTAGCAAAGAATCTTGCCTTCTGTGGTTATTATTCTTGTTCTAGCATGTAATTATAATGTCAATATTGCAATCAGCAGTTGAAATGAAATCTGCAACTTCAGAGAAATTTACAGATAAAAAGGAACTTTCTAGTAATGTGGTAAAACACTCCTCTGCCCACTCAGGGGAAGCTCTGAACATGTATTCATAGAATCTGGATGTGTGATCTTTAAATGAAAAAATTAAAGAGTACAGAAATGTAATTACACCATAGAATTTATGACTCAGCCTTAAAATGCAAAATGTTTTGAATTAAAAGAGAGACCAAGGCATTTACTTCATTTCCTTCCAAGAGAATCTGATCTTACTTAAGATATAGACAATCCAATCAAAATACTTAACTCATATTTCCCCTTGGATATTACTCCTTTTTGGATTCAGTGTAAATGAGATCAACCAAGAAATCAGCCAAGAAATCAGACACTTAATGACATGGCAAACCTACAGCATTTACAGTAAAGCTCCCCAAACTTCACAGCTCAACAAGCAAAAATCCTGCACAAGTGATGTGTTTTATTTAATTTCCAAATTGCCATTCTCCTTTGCCTACAGTTCTAGCTTGAACTTTTCAGCTTCCTGTAGTCAGAGGAGCACTGAGGAAGGCACAYGCAGCAACGTGCCACCTCCATCCCTGGATGCCTCTGTTCTGGCAGCTCTTCAGTCATATTGATAAAAGAATTATCATTAAAAGAATTAAGACCAGTGGGAAAAACATGGGCAGAGAAAAAAACAAAACTAGCTCCCAAACCAGTAAGGACCATGATCATGAAGGAAGTGTGTGTACTTCACACAACAGTGATATTTCCATGTATTGCAYAGCAGCAGTGCAATACTACCCCATCCTTCCTGATTAATGCTTGACTGCACCAGCCATTACAATCAAAAGAAATAAAAGTGGGATATGCCTTTCAGAAACCCTCCAGGGTGATGCTGGAAAGAAATTGTATCTTTATCCTCCCCTCTCAAGAAATTGTGTATTATTGAGCCTAAGTAGGCACCAATCTATATCCCCTAGAACAATCTGGGGAAAAATGAGAAGTGCAGAGGTATTAAGACGTGAAAAATGCCAGTAAAAATCCTGGCATCTAACAAAAGGGCACATAAAATTCTCCTTCATTTAAAGTTCATCATCTAATTTAATGGCTTTTTGGAATTATATCCTCCCCAAATCACAATATCTGACGAAAAATGATCATGCCAGATAACATAATTAAAAACTTTTAAACCCAAAAGCCAGCAGAGAGGAATGCAATGAAGTTGTCAAGATACAGCCAGGCTTTAGAAGTTCAACAGACATCTTGTGGCAAGGGGAGAAAAGAGAAAAACATGGCTCATACAGGGACCAGAGCAAGCCTTCCAGGCAATTGCCAAAGCCTTCTTCTTCTGAATCAATGGAAAACACATTTGAAATTCTCCTTATGTTTACAGGCAGTTCCTCTCATCTGGCAACATAAAATCACATGAACACCTCAGCTTCTCCACAGAAGGTGCTCTTGTCTTTGTACAAACTATTTTACAAGACAGAGTAGATTCTGATTTACCACTGATTTTTAGAAATGCCTCTTTTGTACATTTATACACAATATTCCARCTGAAATGTAAGGTTTTGACTGATAAGACTAAAAAGATGAGGTAGATAAGAAGCCTTCCTAATTAAATATTACCCAACAGCTGTGTTTTTCCTATTGTTTAGTAAATAACATTTGCCAACTTAGAAAGCATGAAATGCTACATACTTGAAGCAGAAGAAAGCCACCACCTACTGCAGTTGCTGCAAGCTTTCCGACTTTCTGGAACAAAAATCCCGCACACCTTAGGGGAACAAAACAAAACAAAAAAAACCCAGTCCAGTGAAGTTTTCTGCTGAACAATGCCACACTCTACAATTCCTGAACTGCAACTATTACCATTCTTTCATTAAAAAAAGCAAATGTACCATTTCATATTTACCAATCTAAAAATCAAGGCTATTTAATGCAAGCAATATTAAATTAACAATGTGTAAAATATAACAATGGTTGGTTGTTACTGGTTGTCTGATGGCCCCTTTAAAGTAAGATTGAGATCTCCAGATCTTGCTGCTATTAAATGTAGCACGTTAATAAAGTACAACATAATTATATAATAAGGCCACTACAACTGCTCCTAAATGGAAAGTAAATACATTATACCATAACYGTATTAACTACAAAACTCATAACTGAATGATCTCAGTAAAAAGAAGCACATCTCTACCACAAGAGTTAAACTATGGAAAGCCACTCCACAGGGACATGGCATTGGTCTATTTTTAATGGATCAAGGCAACCAGAAAATTACCTTGTTCTCAGTCTCCAAACCCTCCCAAACAAATGGAGAACAGCACAGGTATTGATATTACAGACCAATGTCAGGGCAGGAAGGGGCTTCTGAAGGTGAYCTGGGCCAGTCACCTCCCCAAACATGGGCCAGCTGCAGAGTCTGATCCAACCTCCAAGCTTAATCAGGCTGCCAAGAGCCCTGACTCAGACAAGAGTTGCCAAGGCTGATGGTTCCATAACTTCCCTGGGCAATTCCAATGGCGTCTGAACACTGGCCCACCCACAGAGGGGAATTTTCCCCTTGCATATGAATAGTAAATTTGTATGTATATATATCAGTACATGGATATGTGTTTCTACAGATATTGAAATATATGTTTTCCAGATAATTCAATAAGCCAGTTTTTATGGATGCCAGATGAACTATTCCCTAGAATCTTCTGAGTTTACATGTATACATCTGACTTTTAAAAATAATTTTAAGGCTACMGAAGCAAATAAAAAACTCAGATTGAAAGCTAAACCTCCACTCCTCAAAGCTGTACTGAGCTTGAGTACAACAATTTCATTTTTAGTCTCTTTAATCTTCCAATTCTTGCATAATCCCTCTTTAAAAGTCACTGTGCTACCATAATGATGTTTTGCACTGAATTTACAGTTTTTTCGAGTACTGGAATAGACAAATACCATTCAAATACCTCTGACAAATAACAAATACCTTGACACAGCTACTCAGGCTGTGGGTACACATTTTCCAGTTTAAGTTCTCAACTTTACTGTCTAGCTTTCACCATGAATTTATCTAGYATAACTAGGCTGTGGTATCTCTCTTAAGTTAACATCAGAGCAGACTGTGATTTGTTCAAAATGGCTCCAGCTGAATTTAGAGGAAAAAACAGTCTGTCTCCATGGAATTAATACTTCATTAAAAGTGTATTTTGCCATCCTTCTTTTTTTTTTGTTTTTATTTCTTTTATCAGTAAAACATGTCTTAGCCATAATATAACTAGGTTTTTAAATCTAGAGTAGTAAGSAAATAAGCTTTACCATACAAATAAAAGCAGTAATTTTCCATTGCAATTTTAGAACTCTGACATTTTCCCAAATCCYTTCCCCAGTAACTAGTATGAGTTCCCTTGGACAACTGGTGTTTTACCAACATTAAAAAACGCTTYATAAGGGTGAGTCAGAGTAACAAGCTACGCAATTGTTTCACACATGAATAATCTTGATCAATGCTAAAGGAAATCCCTTTGGAGATATATTTATCTGGTTCGAACACCCTTGGATCTTCTAACAAAGTAAAAGGTCTAGGTCAGTTACAGAAAGGGAAGCTCCCTCACCAGCCAGTCACACCTCCCATCACAATCTGCGTGGCTACAGAGTATTTTTCGACAATTGGTCCTGAATTCCGGCCAAACAGACGATTCCACCAATGGTGACGCCGGGCATATTCTGTTAAATCCAGCACTTCGTAGGAATCATCGTCACTGTCGTGGTCTTTAAAAGAAAAAGGGATTAAAAAAAATTATTTTCTCAGTTATACAGCAAATTAACAATGTATGTAAAACCYCGAGAAGCAGTTTGGGCATTAACTGGGTAATCCAATGGTTTAAACTGTAGCATACAAGGTACCTATTGTCCAGCAGCTCACAGAACAAAGGRTTTTGGGATTATATGCCATAATCAAGGTAAGGAGTAGACAGTTATAGGGATGGCATAATCCATGATGGCACTACAAAGGCGAAAAAGAATCCCCAAACCTGTTCAAGTATAGGAACCAAGAGGCATGGGATGAAACCACCAATTAGTTTGTTCAACACAAACAAAAAAAAAAGACAAAAACAAAATCCAAAGGGATAGACCAACACTTTGAAAGATCATGAACTCCTGGCCCAGTGCTCTCCTCAGAGGACAAGACATCAGCACTTGCCACTAAGCCAAGAAGCCCCTTCTGTTCCTTTTCCACAAGTTAAACATGTGACACTGGAATTTCAATTAAGTTCTACATTTGCAGGACAATCCTACAGGCATCCTACAACTTCAAATTAGAGATCCTCAACACCATATACACTCAAACATCACAGGGAAGAGACTGGTCTAGATTTTTAAAGCAAAATATTGTAAAAGTATATCACATTCTGTGATATGCACACACGAATTAAACTACACTTTGGATAAATATATTGAAGGTTAAATCTGAGTTCAGCAAGGCTGGGGGGACATTCCAGAAAATAATTAAATTATTATTATATTAAATGATTATCTGGAATTATAAAGTAAGACTGTAGATATAACCGTTCTATTAAGAATTATGACAGCTTTTTAATTTGTACAAGTATGGGTAAAAACTTCAAGGACTGCAAGAAGTACACATGTAGGTGTGAATTATTTCCCTTTATTGCCACCTAAGTGTTCTTCAGTACTGAAAAATAAATAGCAAGACCCATAATGCTAAAGTAATTATTGAATGTTCTTTCTTTGAGGTATTGAGGACAATCTAATTCCTTTATATGGAGAATATTAAAACATAGTCATAAACTGTTAGTTACATTAATTCTGCCTTTAAATTACTATTTTGTTTAAACCAATACTCGTGCACACGAGTACAATATGTTATGTGGAAAATGAAATGGCCAGAGCATTTTCTACTGATGAAAAATAGTCCCTGAATGCGGCATATGATGTTTTGGACACCATCCGAGCACATCGAACTGTGCCAGYGCCGAAAGGCGCCGCACGAAGAGGCCACAGCGATGCCCTTAAAGCTCCGCACGGTGAAGGATGCGGCGGCCATGGGGACTGAAGGATCCTCTTCCCGTCCTGCATCCCCCCAGCACCTCCGGCTACGCGGCCCCGCGCTCCGTGAGGGCTCGGCCAGCACTCACTCTGCCTGCGGGCCCGGCTAAAAGGGCTTTCGGTGGTTAAATCTCGGGAAGGAGCTTCAGCCCGGGTGATGCCGGGGGTGCCGCGGCCGATGCGCCGCGGCCGCGCGGTAGAGGGGGGACAAGCACGGTTTGGGGCGGCGCAGAGCCCGGGCCATCCCTCCCCGCCCCCGGGACGCAGCGCGGACAGCGGGAAGGGGCTGCCCGCCGCCCCCGAGAGGAAGGAAGGGCGCCCGCCGCGGCGCCTCCTCCCCGCTCCCGCCAGGAAGGGGCCAGCACTGACCTGAGGCGGAGCGGGGCCGCCGCGCCG